GTGTGCAAAAAATTTTCCTACCACCTGACAAGCTAATAACACGGTTGTCAGCATTAAAAGGTATAATTGATGCTTTTTGCCGTGCAATTTTTGTTTGTGATGAAAATAACAGTACGTTTTCGTCAGTTATTTTACCTATGGATCGATGCATTTCTTACAGATTTCTGCTCATTCGAAATTGGATACAGACAGAGCCGGATTTACGCATAGGTATTCTAGGCAAGTGCCTGTGCTTGCTCGTCCAGGGGGGGCCCAAACACAATGTCGAGATATATAATATTTGTGTTACCCTATGGGATATCTACAACAGTAAAAGAACCAAAACCCCAGAAGACATTGAGCAAATAAATATAACAAACAATAGGGTAAAATTGACAAACTATTTCCATGTCTTCAACTTTTTTTATGTACGGAAATCACGCTTACTTACTCCCGTTCGCTCGCACACACACGCTGAAACGCGGACAGAAACTTGTCATCAGCGCTGCGGCTGCACCGCAAATTTATCAGTAAAATAGTTTCGCAGCTGAAAAGCTACATGACATTTCTCAGTAGCGAGGTTCTTGAAGCAGTTCAACTTAAAGATTCGCTATTAGTAGACGCTACTGCTGAGAGACGCACAGACGCAAGTATTCACACGCAGTTAATCTCTCTCTCTCTCTCTAATAACTGCGTTAGACTGCATTAATAACTGTGTTAGCCTGCATATCAATGGCTCAAGCCTCTGTTATTAGCTCTAAAATAACGTTTTGAAATTTGCAACGGAAGGTTTGGGATGAGGTGCGTAAAAAATTAGCTAGTTCAACACCTACGAGATTTCAGGACGGAAACATGTCAAATGTCTTGAAACAAATCATCTGAACAATTGATGTGTGATTGTGAATCCAGGCCGTTAAATTTATTAGAGAAATAATGCACTCCCGAAGTGGTTATGTGGCCACGTCGCCACGCCTATTAATGGAATGAAATGCAATTTGTTTGAATTCTCAAATAAATTAAGAACCTACATTCAATTTCTATTGACTGAACGCAAGCGCTTATTGCGATAGAAAACACTGTAACGGTTTCCACTGATTAAGAAATTTGTTTATTTTTTGCTTGGGTGGTAATATTAGGCCTATTATATTAATAGGGAAGGGGGGGGGGCAAAAGTGTGTTTTGCCTATGTCACGAAAAGAAGTAAATCCGGCCCTGGATACAGATAAAGTAGCACTGTAAGATTACATTTGTTTGAATGCATTATTGAGAGAGCGATTGTGTGTTGTAAGGCATTTCCAAACATCACACAAACCAGATGAGAGTCGTAAAAGCATGAACCATGGTCAGCCCAGGCGTACCTCTCTCCAATGAGTTCCTGCCTCGCTCTGCTTATCTTTACAAAGAAAACACTGAGATAATGATTTACCAAACCACCTCCATGTCGACACAATACTAAGAAAACAATAACTGACCCCTACCATCTGGATCCGTTTAAGCTACAGAAGGTCAGTAGGTTTCGTGACTGGTTTCAGCATCAATAAAACATCTAATGGACCAAAGAACAAAGAACCTGGTATCTAAACAGAGTCCCGCACAGAATCGCACGGACCTCATGACCATTTGACGCATAAATTGCTAAATCCGATCAACAAAAGAGACAATTTTATAGCTCCCTGTCCAGCAGGAGAGCACTGAGACATTTACAAGCAAACATTTTCACACTTTTTCTCAATTCATTATTTCAGTAAATGTTGCAGGCGAATAACTGAATGATCAGCTCTTAGTCTTTATTGTCTTCTGTTCACAATAAATGCTCATCTTCTGTCTCTCTGTGTTTAGTCTCATGTGTCTCGCTGTGGGTTTCCTGAATAAAGCTGTTTAACCTTCACACTCAAACTAAACTGAGACCCTGAACCTTCACCAGTTTTCTGTGGCTTTGAGATGGACAGAAAAACAGCTTGTTCATCACACAAACACAAAACACCTCCAGCATTTGTGAGAAACTTTGAGACAGAAAACATGTCATTTTCAAGTCTCTGAATATTACAATAACAACAAATCATTTGAAAATGCTAATTATTACTGTTCATTTGCATGTACTGTGGATATTTAGTTCAGGCCTGAGAGTAATACAAAATAAAATTATTATTTGGACTCAGACTCAGATGTTCTCCTTTGCAGAAAGTACAAACTTTTCTCATTGTCTTTCATGATAATAATTAGATAAACATGCTTTTATACTGTGTTTCTGTATATTTCTCTGATAATGTTGATTTCATCAGTATGGAAACTAGATTCAGTCACTGTCTGTGTTGAAGCTGTTAATGCGAGTCAAGGCCTTGCAATGATAATGTTTGACAATTCAAATATAATATAAAAAGTGTGAATAATAATTGATTCTCTGATTCTACAACTTGAAAGAAGAGCAATAAACAAGAAATAATAGCAAATAAAACATGTTTCTTTTTCAATTAATAAAATATATGATTCTATTTTAAAACTCTTATATCAGAAAAATGACAAAGAGCAAGAAATGTGTCTTGCATGTACAAATCTAAATATTCAGGAAGATGAGAAAGAGACATCTGAACGGCTTTAAGAGCTGCTATTAAAGTCTTTATTAACTGTTAAAAGCTGCTTTGTGTCTATATGTGGAGTGGAAACTTTACAGTATCTTCTAGAAGTGTTACTCAGGGGTTTATTTCCTTTGTTCATCACACCCTCACATAAACTGACATGAGACTATTTTAAACATGCGAAAGAAGCAACATGAGCAGCAGCGGAAACTTTAAAGCGTCTCATGATTCACAAACTGAACAGAACGACCCTCATCAAACCAAACAACTGCTCAACACTCAATTATGGATTTCAGAAATCATAAATTACATTTTTATCAACAAACTGTGAGTGTAAACAAATGTTAAAAATATATATATTCTGTATACATCATAGTATGTTTTATAAAAAATATTGGTGTAACGTGTGATGATCTGTTATAAGTGAGTTAGTTGAGTCTCATGTGGTGAATCTGATCGTGGTGTAATCAGAGTGAATCTCCTCCTTACTGAATCTGACCGTAGCATCACTGAGAGACTCTTCATGCTTCTGGAAACTGACAGCAGCGTACAGGAGCTCATCAGAGGGGATTGTGGGTAATTCATCATGATTCTTCATTTGAGCTGATCCAGGATCTGAGAGAGAATCACGTCTGCTGTCTGCACATGATGACTGAATGCAGATAAAATAGAGAGAAAATGCACATTAAAAGAATGGCAGCTGGTGGGGGAAGGTTTTGAGGAGACTGAGATGTAAATTAAAATTGATCGTTAGCTGTGACAAAACAATATCACACTTTTTTATCACAAAAACTGTGATGAACACACTACTAAACATGGATAAAGACATAATAACTGATAATACTTTATAATAATAATAACTTATTTTATAGCGCCTTTAACGCAGCTTCTCAAGGCACTTACAGCCAGTAGACCAGCTTGTGAGGAGCGTAAGTGACGCTTGGGTGTATCTAGAGTTGACCGGAAGCCAGAGCAAGGACTAGAATTGGAGTAATGTGTTCATTACACTGTGACTCACCATTGTATTTTTCTTCCTCTTCCTCTTTCTGTTTTCTGATGTCGAGGCTCTTCCTGATTAACCCAAAACAAAATGAATCGATCGGTAAGAGAAAGATAACCTGGAGATGTACAGCAGCATCTGAGACAGAAACTCATTCAGTGATTGAGAGTTTGATTGAAGATTGAAGCAGCTAATTATTAATGTGTTTCAACAGATAATAAATGACCAAACCTCGTCTGTTGTGTCTTAATTTGCACACAGTCAGAGTGAATCCACCCATCAGCAGCAGAATCACACACACACTAATAATGAAGATCACGGAGAAATCTGGAAAACACAGAAGCATTGTGTCATTATCTACATCTACAACAACGCAGTGAATTTAGAAAGCAGACAATCTATCAATGCTAACAAATACATGTATCTGACAGAGTAGCAAATTAATAACACCACATAAACAAATACACAACATAAAAAACTTGATTTTCACTACAGGGGGACTTCATTTAAATAAATTAAAACAACAAAACATGATGAAACTGCTAAAAATGCAAGAGATATAGTACAAAATATAACGCATGCAACTAACATAATTCATACATCAGGGAATGTGTTGAATCACAAAGGCTGATCCACTCTCATAAAGAACATCATGAGCGACTTCAGGTCTTTATTAAATAGCATCATCTTTCAGTGTCTCGGGGAAATCAAAAATGCATCTGATACTTTTGTTTTGACATTTATACTTTGATATTTTGACATCTTTCTCAGCTGTAAGAAACCACTCGGTTTTAGGTGGAAACATTTGATCTGACTTGCAGGATAAATACTTTATGTCTATAAAAAATAACATGTATCTATATTTTCAGCGTCACTTCAATGCTGACTCAAAGCAGCTTTAGAGAAAATCGTCTGTTAATGTCTTAACCTTAAGAGGAACCAGAATCCTCTGACATTACAATCAGTCTGCATATGCTAAATATTAAATGTTTACACAGTCCGTGTCTCATTTGGTGCTCAATGTTAGTTTTGTACATTGTGAATGATCCATATCTTTAAATTAATTTATGACACACATTCTCTGCTTTGGCTCGTCAGGCAGTGAGATGATTGATAGCAGCGTATTCACTGCAATCCTGATTATTCCTCAAACTGACTCTGTCAGGACAGTCCGCTTTCTTTTGGAAATTCACCACGGCGTAATTCAGATCCGCAGCAGATATCTGAGAGTCACCAGTGGGTTCAGAAGAATCAGAGGGGTTTGTGGGTAATTGTTTGTGGGCGTCTTTAATCTCCTTGTAATCGCAGCCAGCGTGGGAAACCTATAATAATAATGTGAATATTTAACCAGAGATTTGCAATCAATGCTGACTCAAAGCAGCTTTAGAGAAAATCGTCTGTTAATGTCTTAACCTTAAGAGGAACCAGAATCTTCTGACATTACAATCAGTCTGCATATGCTAAATATTAAATGTTTACACAGTCCGTGTCTCATTTGGTGCTCAATGTTAGTTTTGTACATTGTGAATGATCCATATCTTTAAATTAATTTATGACACACATTCTCTGCTTTGGCTCGTCAGGCAGTGAGATGATTGATAGCAGCGTATTCACTGCAATCCTGATTATTCCTCAAACTGACTCTGTCAGGACAGTCCGCTTTCTTGTGGAAATTCACCACGGCGTAATTCAGATCCGCAGCAGATATCTGAGAGTCACCAGTGGGTTCAGAAGAATCAGAGGGGTTTGTGGGTAATTGTTTGTGGGCGTCTTTAATCTCCTTGTAATCGCAGCCAGCGTGGGAAACCTATAATAATAATGTGAATATTTAACCAGAGATTTCAGTGCTTAAAACATAAGGTAACAATTCATTCCTATTATTGATAAAACAAGTAATATTTTCCAGTCACAGTAATTCTACTAACCGCTGCACTGTTTTCTGGTGTCGAGTGAGATCTTTTGGATGAGGAATCAGCATCTGTCAAAGACAAGCAAATTAATTGTTTTTTTTGTTTTTTTACATTCACATTATTCTGTTTTGCTCATTTTTAGTTGTAGCCAATAAAGTCATCATCATATATATATATATATATATATAAAGTCAAACATCACTATGATTGATAATGTGTCAGTTTGAGCAATGTGGAAAAATAGATGATTCAGAGAAACTAAAAGAGTGTAAGAAAGGAGCAGGAGTGTTACTGTGTGACTGACGCCTCCTCCAGAGAGTCACGATCACTAACAGAATCACACTGATGATCAGAAGCAGAAGCACAGACACACTGATGATCAGAGAAGAGCCTGAAAACACCAGAGATTCACCATCATAATAACAGATGCACTGTAAAATATAACATTTACGGTAAAAAAACGGCAGCAGTGGTTGCCGGAATTTTACCGTAAAAAAATACGGTAGAAGCATTTTAGGTTTTACGGTTTTAACTTAAATGTACGATTAAATACCGTAATTTCTGAATGAAATAAAAACTGAAATAATGTTAATATACCAACCTATTGAAGTACTGAAATCTGTTTTGAAGCTTTGTAATACACTGATAACCACCAAATGCAGGAGGTGATGAGAAAGTCACATGATGAACCAAAGCCCATCACAAGCAGCTTTTAAATAATAACATATATAGAAGCTGCACAGTGTGTCATTCACACAAACACTAAACACCATCACGGTAACACACATGAAACTGAAATAATGCAATAAACATTCATTTAACAACATTAGGTGTAACACACAACCCTAATGTACAAAACTGATAAGAAAAAACTAAGAAACAACATAGTTATTTCAACAAAAACACATGTAATGTAACGCAGGGAATTCTGGGAATGTCAATTTACGGTTATTCACTGTAAATTATACCGTATTTTTCACAAAAACGGTATGCTACCGTAAAATGACATGTAATGTTCAATACCATTTTTTACCGTATATAGTAGGGGAATTTTCCGTTAACCATTTAACAGGTTT